GGACAGGAAGGCCTGGCGCAATATGGTTCATGAGGTCACGAAGAGTCGGACACAACTTAACGACTAAACAACAACAACATGGGTGCTTAGGGATCCCATCCCAAACAGTACCACCTATCTATGAGACTGAGGTATCAATAAGCTTGGGGAAAACCCAAAATCTGAAGAAATAAAAAATATGTGGGTGGTGGAGCAGGGAGTCCAAAACAACCCAGTGAGGGAAATGGAACAGAATGGAAATCATAACTGTCCATATGGCCTAAATAAAGGACAGAGCAGGTTCAGTTCCCAGCATTCAAGCCCAGCACCAGTTAACTGGTAATGTTTACAGCCCCTGCAAGGCCCACTGTTGATATCTACCTTGATGCCTTTAAAACTTTTAGGGCAGGTATCCATGCAGCCATTCTGCTGCTGCCACTATTAACCCCAGGCAGGGCTGCAGGCATTGTAAGAACAGAGGAAATAATTCACCAGAAGGTCTGCCAGCACCTCCAAGTAAATTAGGTTACATAGTATCAACTGGAAAGGGTCCCTGCCCAAGGCCATGGAGCAAAGCTGGGGACTCTGCTGGAGTATGAAGATCAGTGATCTGATGGCGTAAGATAACCTCATATACAATGTAACTGATCATCCCACTAATGAAGAAAGTACAGTCCTGGGGGAAGGACCTTTAGTTTATTATTAAAGCATACATATGGCATGCTGTGTAAAGCCATGCTTATGAAGCATCTTTGCTAATTCAAAAAGAACATTGTAAGAGAGTAAAATGCCAGTTTGCACAAGAAGAGGTTCAAAGAAGTTGGCTTTCTACAAAATTATCTCTGTATTTCTTAAATTAATTTCTGGAGTCTTTTTCTATTTTTCCTTCAAATGTCCAGAATACAATAGTTATTGGGACAGGAGCAGAAGGAAAAGTGGAAAATGAATTACATTAAAGATGCCTGAAAAAGTGCCAGAATAATCTGAGGCTGTTGTGTCTTCCTATGGTTCTAGTTTACTGCATAGCAAACAAAGAAAAGGAGGATTGTTGCTGAGTGTGGAAGAACTGCCTTTCATTCCATGGAGCCTTTGCTGCTGATTAGAAGCCATCAATATGTAGAGAAACCTTGGAAGTAAAGTCCATGTTGGACGTGTTTCTCAGCCTCCTGAATCTAACCATGTCCCTGATGAATTTGTTTTCTGCATAGAAGGTTATGCTATTTATTTGCTTATATTTTTAATTCTTATTTAAATAATAATATATTTATTATCTTAAGAAGAAAAAAAGACTGAAAAGAAAAGAAAAAAGAAAAAATAGTAATTGATTCAGAATTATCTGGAGGTTGAGTCATGGCAACTGGACTTCTTCTCTTTTGATTTGATACGTTTCGCTGCTTGTCCAAGCAGCTTCTTCAGTCTAGAAAGTTGGTTGGAGGGATCTCATAAATGTCTTCCAGGGTGGCTCACAACTTTCTAGACTGAAGAAGCTGCTTGGACAAGCAGCGAAACGTATCAAATCAAAAGAGAAGAAGTCCAGTTGCCATGACTCAACCTCCAGATAATTCTGAATCAATTACTATTTTTTCTTTTTTCTTTTCTTTTCAGTCTTTTTTTCTTCTTAAGAAAATAATAAAAATATTAT